TGTAAATATTCTGAAATTTTTCAGTTAGATAGTTGATAGTACTTTTAAAATACATAAACAATATTAAACCAATAAATTGTGAAAAACAATTTTTGTTTCTTTTATTCTAATGGAAATTTCATTATGGTTGTTAAAAAGAGATTCAAAGCAATTACTTCTTGAAGAGATTTCACAGCAAAATATTTTTTTACTGAAGAAATTTTATTGCAGTTTCTTCCAGATCCCACAGGAGAACAAAAAAAAAAAAAAAAATGCCCGTATTTTTGTATAAAATAGTTGGAATTCGAAAAAATCAAAAGAACATATTTGAAAATGATGATGTTGGTTGCTAAAAATTAAGCATTGTGTGATTTACCAGAGCTTTGGCACATTCTGAAACTTGGATGTTTTCTGCTAAGGTGATTGTGATAATGTGGAAGTACCTAAATTTAAACATAAAATTTTATTACAGTGTGTGTGTGTGTGATTATGGCAAAGCCTCGAGGGCTATCTGCTACGGGGAGGGATGCCTAAGGGACCAAACTACCAGTGTTCAGCAACTTTACCGCTCGGCCGCTGGTGCGCCAAATTTTATTACAGAATTGTGAGAGTATGTAATAGCTTGAAACAGAAGTTTGGGGCATGAGAAATGTACTAAAGGTATTTAATCTAAACTAGTATAAATGTCGGGGATATGTCTAGAAATGACATGAATTACTTAAAAACTATTAGTCATATTTTCTTAAAATTATTTTAATAGCTTTGTAAATAACATTGAGAGTAAAATGTAAGATTATACATATAAGAAATTTAAAATGCATTTTTATTTGAAACACATTAAACATAAATTAATGAGAATATGGTAGGCTGTTATGTAAAGTAAAACATACCAAATTTGATTTTCAGTTGCGTGGTATCAAATGTATAGATAGACCAGTGGTGGCGCAAACCCTTTTGGGGCTGCGTGCCCAAAATTCAACCAAAACCCACTTATTTATAGCAAAGTGCCAACACTTCAATTAAACTGAAAATTGTGGTTTGACTTAGCAAAATACAAACTTATCTTGACTTAAAGAGAAAAAACAAGAAGAAAGTTTTCAATGATAAAAAAAAACTTTTTATTTCAGGAAATAGATTGGTTTTGCATTATTAATAGGATTTTTGTTGTTGTATACATACTGATAATTCGTCAAACCTTGGCTCATAGTTTAATTTGAGTGCAACACATGCAGCACTCAGGTTATCTGTCAGTCTGTTCTTGTGTCACATTTGATATAATTCAAAGCTGAAAACAGCTGTTTGCACTCATAAGATGAACCAAACAAAGTAAGAATAGCACCCCCAAGTGTGTTCATTGATTTAAACTTATTTGGCTGAAAATTCCACACTTTCAGGATTTTGTCTTCGTAACTATCAATTGTACCATCCTGTGTAATCTCTTAACACTCCATCTTCTCAAAAGTTGTACGCAGGTGAGATAATTTTCTTTTCCACATAGGGTTTTCTTGAAATTCCATTAGCTTCATTTCAAGATTTTCAAGATCTAATCATTATAAGCAAGAAAGATCAAGTTCTTCAAACTTGTATTTATCTGGAAAAGCAAGAAAAGACATGGCTATTTCCATATGTCTTTAGATTTGGAAAATATTTCAGCTGCTCACTTGCAAGATCTTTCAAAAACATGAAATTTTCTGTCAAATGATTTTATACCGCAAAACATCATTTCTGTCATTTTTCCTAAGCCTTGCAGTTGCTTGTTTAGTACAGTGAAGTTCTGTGTAAAATCTGTAAAAACATAATGTTGTTAAGCCAGACCATATCAGTGAGCTGCGGATAATCCTGCCCTTTTTCATTAAAAAATAGCCTAATTTCATCCAAGCAGCTTACAAATCTTTGTAAAAACCCATCCTCAGATCAACCATCAGACCTTATTGTACATAAGCAAAGTGTTATGCTTGAACCTCATCAAGAAGTGCTTGAAACTGTCGTCAATTAAGAGCTCGAGCCATTGATGTAATTCACCATTTTGGTGACATCGTTGAGAACGTCATCTAATATTTTGCAGCTGTCTCTGGCACAAAGAGCTTCTTGGCATAAGTTCTTGGCATACTTTTCATGCATAAGTTACCTCAAAATGCTTAGATCTGAAACCTTGAGTCTGTTTAATAATGAAAGTATTGAAACACATTGACAGTTGGCAATAAATTTGGGTACAACTCTGATACGAGGGCCATCCAGGAAGTAGATTACATTTCCGTCTGTGTCCGCTAGGGGCGGGGCTAGCGCGGCCATCTTGGGGTCAGAGCGTTGCGCAGCTCAGTCTGCATCTAGCCGTGCTAGTGAGAGGTTCGTGCTGTGCTCCGTTCAGATACTGTGACGGTTTGAAATGTCTGCGTTAATTGAAAATCCCGCGAGCTGCGAGGTGCGCTCAGTAATAAGGTTTCTGACTGCAAAAAACTGTAAACCGATAGAAATCTATCGGCAGCTTCGTGAAGTGTATGGGGACAACATTATCACTGAAGGTGGAGTGCGTCAGTGGGTCATAAGATTTCAAAATGGCCGAACCAATGTTCACGACGAAGATCGAAGTGGGAGACCAGCATAGTGACCCGCCGAACTTCTCGAAAAAGTCGATGCTAAAGTCCGTGAAAATCGAAATTTCACAATAACGGAACTTTCTTTGAGTTTTCCACAAATTTCGCGAAGTTTGTTGCACGAAATCATCAGCGAAAAGCTTGGTTACCACAAGTTTTGGCAAGATGGATTCCAAAAATCTTGACAGAGGACCACAAAATCAGCGAATGGCTGCGCAGCGTTGAACTTTTTGGACGCTTACCATAAGGATGGTGACTCTTTACTCGATCGCATCGTACTGGTGACGAAACATGGGTGAAACATGTGAACTGTGAAACGAAATTGCAATCAATGCAGTGGGGGCACACAAGTTCTCCTCCCCAAAACCCAAGAAATGCATGCAAACAATGTCGGCAAGGAAGATGATGGCGACTGTTTTTTGGGACAGAAAAGGTGTAATTTTGGTGGACTTCCTGGAAAGAGGCACTACAATAAACTCTCAAAGGTATTGCCAAACTTGCCAAACTCTCCAAAAACTCAGAAGAGCAATTCAAAACAAGCGCAGAGGAATGTTGAGCTCTAAGATCTTGTTGATTCACGACAACGCCCGGCCCCACACGGCAAATGTCACTCGTAAAGTTCTTGAATCTTTTAAGTGGGAGTTGTGAGTTGTTTCCTCATCCGCCGTACAGTCCCGACCTGGCACCGAGCGACTTCCACCTATTCCCAGCAATGAAGAAGTGGCTGGCTATGCAGCGTTTTGATGACGCACAGCTGCAAGAAGAGGTAACGAAGTGGTTGAAGGCGCAGGCGGCCGAATTTTTCGACGAAGGAATTTCCAAGCTCGTACATCGCTACGATAAATGCCTTAATTTGTATGGTGACTATGTAGAAAAGTAGTATTTGAGTGTGGCTTTCATCTGTTTATAATAAATTTTGTTTCCTATACTTTGTTTATTTTTTTTATTCCAAAACGTAATCTACTTTCTGGATAGCCCTCGTATATGCCCTAATTTCACCAAATCTGGCGATATGTGTTCTGCGCTGGTTTTTGGAGCGATTGCGTGTTGATGTTGAAAAATCTTTTGCTGGAGCTCTTTGGTTCTGTGTCTGAGGAAGATAGGGGGAAAAAATAAAATGGTGGAAGTTGTTGAATTGAAGTTCGGCAAAAGGAAATATCATTGTGGCCATCCTGTTGAAGAGCAGTGGGTGTTTGGAGGAGTGGAAAGAAGGTCTGGGAGATTATTTTTAGTGGCTGTCCATGATAGAAGTAGGGATTTGTGATTTTATTTATTTGTGAACCATAGTATGAATTTTCTGGATAGTGTGTCTGGCTGTCATATAAATACAATAGTGATTAAAGGCGATATGAAATTGGTATTTCTACTGTTCAAAAAGGCATTAATTCATGGTAAGATCATTTTATTTTATTCTTGTTCTTATTTTGTAGAATGTTATGTTCATTGTTTTTTTAGTATGAATGTCTGTCGTTATTGTTGTTTTTTTGAATTGTTTGAAATTTATTTTAGTTTATTCCTTCGCTGCCTATATTTTGCAATTCGTAGATGTTTTTGCAAGTAAAACATATCGCTGTGTACATGGATTCTTGTCGAATATTTTTGGTTAGAAACTTTACGTTTTTGCTATCTAAATTTTTTGTTTTTGTTACGGATTTTTAGCTTAAATTCTGTGTTCAAAACGTGGTTTTTGCATGTTCGAAAACGCATTTTTAGAGACATTTTAGGCTTAAAAAATTTAGATAATAATATGGCAGCGTGGAGTTTCTCGCCAAACATTTTTGGCGAGAAAATTGGCAACTTGAGGGAGCATATCAGAGTAGTTCTTAAATTTGAATTCGCTTAGCAAACATTAGCTGCTTAATCTTTGACCTATTCTTTGCCATATAAGAAATGTGTATATCATTTCTTTGGGGAAGGCCCTATTCCAGTGGCATTATGTGAGAAGTAAGTGAAACGTTCAAGAACAGAGTGAAATACTTATTTAAATTACATAGTATCAGTTCATTCTGATTATTGATTAAGGAAGTAATATTTTAGTCGCGTGCCGGCTGATGAGGATCTGTGTGCCATAGCATCGCCATCACTGGTACAGGCAATTATACCACTGTGTACTGTGAATTCTATATTATCAGCAAAAAGCATGGAAATATATGCACTCCTAAACTGTAAACTAAAAATTAAAATTATGCTGACAAAAACTGGACTTGCAAAAAAGTGCACCATTATAAAAATGCCAGCACCTTTACAGAACTTTTTTTTTAAAACCAAATTGATCTTTATACGTGTGTGCACTGTTATGCAGGAGTACCTGTATAAATCTTTATGAATTACAACTTTTCTAAGAGTGCACACATCTTTAGTTTTTTTTAAAAAAAAACTGTTTATATATTTAATATCTTACGGAACTAATGCATCTATTCATTTTAGGTTTGGGAAGGTTTAAATATTGTGAAAACAGGAAGAGATTTAATTGGAGCAACCAATCCAATGGACTCTGCTCCAGGAACCATTCGAGGAGATTTATGTGTTCAAGTTGGCAGGTTAGAAATATTATATAGTCAGTCCATTGTTTTAAAACACTATTAACAGACTGAAAAATTAACTAGCCTCTTTTTTTTTTTTTTTTTTTTTTCTGTGTGTAGTTTATTTCTGAACAGTTAGTGTGAGAGCAACATTAAGGTTTTCCATTTAAAATTAACTTTGTTTTCATAATTAGATAAAAGTTAAGAACAGAACTAGATATTGTATATTATATTGCTGATCATAAGAAGAATAAATTTAGTAACCTAGAAGCTTTTATCAGCAGTTTTTTTGTAAACCATCCCCTCCCCAGATTCTTTCTGAAGGCATATTGTTCTGGATATGAGAATCATCATCTATAAATATTTATATTTACATGAAATTCTAGGTTTCCAAGAAAATAATTAGAACATTTATAGACAAAACTTTTAATGAAAAGATGAATCCTACAATTAAAGGCATTTTTTATCTACCTCTTATAAGAACACCAATCATAAGAGATATGTAGATAATATTAAGCTTAATGCAGAGGTAACGAATGCACACACAAACCTAACCATAATCTGTATTATAAAGTACAAGCAGATTTCTTCAAAATTTAAATGATGATCAAAGTTTATTTTGCTTTTTGTTCTAATGGCAAATAAATACACTAGGCTTTCTGATAATAGTCTTTTTGAAGGACTTTTCCAAGTACTTTCTGAAGAAGTGGAAACTAGACTGTAGTACATTTATTTATTTAATTAGAATTGGGACAAAGTCCAGGTCACAGCTAAACAATAGATATCTCAATAAGCTGAGAAGAAAAGAATGAATAATCTATTCAGTTATAATGTCAGAATAGTACTTTAATATGTTTACATACATTGTGTATGTCTTTAAACACTTGTAAATTAATAAATTCATAACATTTCTGACAAATAGGAAATTCAAGAATTTTATGTTTCATGATTTTGAACCATAATCAAGAATGGGTAAAAAAGCTGTTATTACTTATGAATATAATAGTATCAGTGAGTATTAAAATTAGCCAAACAAATGTTTTTCTATTCACACAGTTGCCAACGTATTGGTGACTTCATGCAAGTGCACATAATCAGAAAATACCCTCCTTAAAAAAAAAAAAAAAAAAAAAAAAAAAAAAGACTACATGAAACTCAAATTGTGCAGCCTCAGTTTTTTTTATGATTTTTAGCATAATTCTTTTGATTAATTTTTATTTTATATGGATTCTTAATCTGTTCTGCAGTTTCGAACAGCATTTTATGAAGACTAACTCTTTAATTGCTAAATATTTGTATGTGGTGTTTGCTTCTAGCACTTAATGAGTAAATATTTGTTTTTAATAATATATAAATGATACATTACTGAGCTCGTCTATATCATTATTTGCACATTAGTAGTTAATTTTTTGGTGTACTTAAAAGTACTTCGATAATAAAGGCTTTTATTTTCCTTGCTGGGTTTTCTACAATATAAAATGTTATAAAAATTATAAAACTGAATGCAGTTAACTAAAACACATTATTTAAAATAATGAATTAATGCATTTTATATCAAAATAGTGCTTTACACAATGCAAGAATTATAATCATGCAGTATAAATTGACTCTAAATCAAATTTCTCAGTTGAGTCCTTTTAAATTTGCATTTCTGTAGGAAAATCTTCCTGTATTTTTATATTTAGAGGTTGGCAATTGTGGTGCAATGAAAAGCAATCTTTAGTCCAAAACATTTTTGTCATTTGGTTGTGGATTATTAATGTTTGTATGTGTATGACTGAAAAGTATATTTGAAAACAAAAATTATTTCATATAATTCATTGCTCTATCAGCATAAATTTGGCAATAAACTAGCTATCAGATTCTGATGCTGTGTCATTGATAATAAGAAAAATTGTTCTCTTGTATTAAAAATATTTATTTCAAATGCAAAACACTGATCATAAGGACATACATGAAGAAGTAAAACAAATGGAAACCGTAATTTTCAGAAGAAACGTATTGGCGTTTATGTGTTTCAAACTTAAATTTTCAGCGTGTGCGGCGTCTACCCATGCGGCATTTAGGTGCGCTAAAAATAAAATATTTCCTATGATGGTTATTGTACATAGACTGGTGCTGTTCCCACACAAAAGACCACTCGATTGCTTTTTGCGAACGTTATTTTGTTTACATTCTTTCTCTTCAACGGACCTACATGCCTTATTCACCCTAAACGGGATCTCAGAACAATAACATTCTTTCCCCTTTCAAATCAGCATTCTCATCATTTTGAATAGTCTCTCTCCTCTGCCATTCGATGAATCTTCCAGATCTTCCTCTCCGCACCCCTGCCTTTTCTGCAATTTTTTTCAAAGGCAGACACGACTCCACTGACCTCGGAATAATGAACTCTGACGTATTTCCCCTTCAGCATGAATCGATTTTTCTTGGCATTCTGCCAGATACAGATCCCATCAGTTTGGGTACAAGTACTTGTTGGATAGTTTTTAAGTAAGAAGGGAGCGGAAAATTTTTGAAAACGGCACAGAAGCTATACTGCTGGTTTTAAGCTTATTGTAATTTCACGTACTGAACAAATTGGAAATAGAGCAGCAGCTCGAGAGTTTGAAGTGGACGAGAGATGTATTCGACGTTGGAGAACTGAAAAAGAACTTCTTTAAAATATGCCACAACAGAAATGACCCAAAAGAAGTGGTACTGTAAGGTGGCCGAATCTAGAGGACGACCTTGCAAACTGGATAAAGAGCAACGAGCAAAGGGAATGGCAATTTCGACTGTAAAAATTCGCTCACATGCAAAATTTATAGCAAAAAAATTGAACATAAATGATTTCAAAGGAGGGTCTTGCTGGTGTAGCAGATTTATGAAAAGAAAAAATATTTCTGTGCATACTAGAACTACAGTCGGGCAACAATTACCAATGGATTGGCAGAATAAAAAGGCATCTTTTCTAAAATATGTAACAGATATTATTAACCAAAAAAAAAAAAAAAAAACCTTCGGTCACAGATAATAAATATGGATGAAACGCCGTTAGCTTTCGACTCTCCTGCAAACAGAACTGGTGCAAAAACTGTATCTGTGCTTACGACGGGGCATGAAAAAACGTCATTTACATGTGTGTTAGCTTGTGCCGCAAACGGTGACAAGCTAATGGCGATGATCATTTTTAAACGAAAAACTATTCCAAAAGGAGATTTTCCTAATGACGTAATTATTTGTGCAAACGAGAACGGCTGGATGTGCGAAACAATCATGCATGAGTGGCTACAAAAAGCTTGGCAGTATTGTATGGGATCTTTTTTCTAACCAAATGAAAAATGTTATTCATAATGGATTCCATGGATGCTCATTTACTTGAGTCAGTGAAAACCAGATGTCAAAAATTGTCTGCAACCGTAGCAATAATTCCTGGTGGTTTGACAAAAATCTTACAACCATTAGATTTGTCAGGTAATAAATCCTTCAAAGCTGAAGTCCAAAAGCGGTGGGAGTGTTGAATGGGTGAAGGATTGCATACGTAAGCGGTAAAATGCGTAGAGCATCTTATGAAGTTGCAAAGTGGGTAGAAAGTGTGTGGAAATCGGTAAAAACATCGTCAATAATAGGGTTCAAAGAAGCTGAAATTATATCCTTAGATAAAGAGACTGTAAACCAAGAAGATGAATGTGACAATCTGGAAGACTTAGATCAGGATGTACTAAATCTTTTTAATTCAGATAGTGAAGAATCAGATTTTGATGGCTTCATATGATGTATAGTTTGCTGTAATTCCTTTTGTGAGTAAAATTTAAAATTTCCTTTTGTCATACAAATTTAATATTTCATTGTTGCAACATTTTTTATAATAAAGGCTGAGTATTACAAATATGGACTTCTTTAGTGGGCAAATATAAGTATATTCATGAACGTAAATATATTTTCAACATTTCTTACCTTTAATTTATTTTTGAGTTATGGTTTCATTTCATGCATTTTTCTTAACTGATATGTCGTATATCAGGACATAGGTTGAGATTTTGCATCTATACGGCCCACGACAATGTCATGCACAATTTAATCTATTGCAGTGTTTCTGTGTAATTTTAATTTTTTCCCCACCATTTTTCTTGAGTGCGCCGTTTACGCTGATGCAGCCTTTCTTCCGGAAATTACCGTAAATGATTGAAAATGGCTAAGATTTAGCCAGGATTTCTGAAGCAAATAATTTAAGCCATTAAGCTAAAACAATGAAAAAAACTATTAAATAGTAAAAAATTTGTTATTAATTTAGTTGAATAAATTTCATCTTCAAGGAAAATTCATTAATGTATAAAAAGTTTGTCTATGCTATTTAGTTTTCTTTGAAGAGCTGTTTTCTGTATTTTCAGATATGCAGAATACTATAAGAGAGGAACATAGTTCAATAAATGAGTTAATTAAAAATTCTGTAGTTTACTCAGACTTAAGTAATTTTATTAATTTGATAAATAATCTGACTTCAGTTCATGTACAGATTGAAAAGGGATAATATTGAATTTCAGGAATATTACATTTTTGAGTTAAAGTTCAGTTTGATAAGTTAAATACTTATTGAATTTCAGTGGCAAGACCTGCACTTTTAAACACATTGCAAACTGGTTAAAGGTACTAAAGCTTCATGGTCAAATAATTTTTATTTGCGTGGTAGAATATTTATAGCAATGCCATTAAAAATGCAATGCATTCTGTGATGTTGTTTTGAATACTAATAAAATCTGTGCTTGAGACACCAAAGTATAATTTGATGATAGCAGAACATTTTCTTTTAAAAAGAAACTAGCATAAATAAAATATTGAAACATTTAATATGAAAGAGAAATGCACCATTGTAAAATTAGGCCTCCTTTTCCCCAAATACCTTAGATGAGGGCATTTAAAATTATGCTATTTTAAGAGTTTTCTTTTTTTTTTTTGCCTAAATGAAATGTTTTTCAAAATGAGATGTCAGAATTATGTTCAGTTTTATCTTAAAAAAATCATTGATTAATTACAGTATTTCTTGTTTGTTTTCTTTTGCAGTGTTTAGGAATTACTTTAATGTTCTGATTAATTTCATTTTTAGGAACATTATTCATGGAAGTGATTCTGTGCCAAGTGCAGAAAAAGAAATTGCATTATGGTTTACTGATGCAGAACTAGCAAATTATGAACATGCATTAGACAAATGGATTTACGAAGATAATTAATGTGTAGAAGAATTTTATATCTGGAATCTTCAACAAAATATGTAATCTGTAGATTCATGTGAATCAGTTTCTCAAATATTCCAGAATATTGTTTAATCATGAAATTAAGTTTTTCTTTATATTTTATGAAGAAAATAAATCTGAACAAAATCAGAACTCAAGCTGTTTATCCTTTTTAAAGATAAGTGGATAAATTTTTAAATTTCTGTGTCTTGCATTTATCACATTTTATTTAGTGGGTTGAAAAACGTTTTTCTGTGATATTTACAAAAGGTTTAAATTTAACCATAAAATATTAAATTTTGCAGCTAGTCACCCCTCAGTATTTTAGCATTATGTCTATATAAATTGAATAAACCCTCTGCATAGCAGTGGTTTTTCCCATGTGTAAGGAGAGTTAGTCGGTAGTAGAATTAAATACAGTATGTGTAGTACTGTACTTCAAAAACGAAGTCACTGTGATGATTGAAAGGAATTTTTCATCGCAGTCTGCTTTCTTGAGTGCAGTATTTTCACTTCCAAGCCTCACCATCTCTGCAGTATCAATGTTGATTCCTTCATCCAACTTTCCATTTCTTGCAGAGATGCATCTTCATATACAGAGATGTGTTGCATTGCAGGTAAAATGGTTGCATGTGTGCTTTCTGTTTTCATACTTTCATCACTGCCTGGCAACTTCTTTGATTTGAGAATTCTAGTTTCTGTGTCAGCCCTGGCCCATGCAACCCAGTCTGCAATATTCTTTACATTGATATGTTTCATTCATGTCTTGTCCTTCTTCAATTTCTTCTGTCACTAGAGATAGTTTCCTGCGATAGTTCCTTTTTAGTTTCCAAAACATTCTGATCCAAGTTGATAAATGGAAGTTACATGGGGGGGGGCTGAAACTTTGCTTTAATGTTACCATCTTGAAGCAACTTTGTTTCAGGATTCATTGGACCATTATCTAGCATCAAAATAGCTTTTCTGGGTGAATAATTTTCTTTCAAAAACTTCTCTGTTGAAGGAATGAATTTCTTAAAGAACCAGTCTTAAAATTTTACCACTCATCCCTGCACTTTTCTAAATACTGTATTTTATAAGAAGAGAATTTTTTAAGGAGGAGGAAGAAACCAGTTTTGAAGGCTGTATGATTTTAGGACTTTTCATTCATTACAAGGTCCATTTTGAAGTTTGCTGTATGTAGCATTGCTACAAAATTGTCAGTTTTTCCTTACTCTGCTTATATCCAGGGGCTCCTAGCTGCGATACTTTTACTAGGTAACATTTTATAATTAACACTTGACTCGTCAAAGTTAAATATCAGATAATCTGCTAAGCTTTCAGTTTCAATTAATTCCTGAAATGTTTTCCTCAGTTCTTCCAGTTCTTCAAAATTTGATGATAGTTTTGCAACACAAACATGTAACTGATGGATACTATAGCATTTCTTCAGTCAATCGAGCCAGTTGATGTTTATTGTGAAGTTTGGGTCTCTTTCATTGAAATCATTATGAAAATGCAAACATTTTGCTGTAAAATGGGGAAACCTTTGTCCCTGAACTGTGTAAGAGGTAAGAATAACACATTTAATTGAATGCTGGCTGACAAGCAATACAGGTACATTTATGTTTCGGTAGAAAATTTCTTAGCCTTGTAAAGATTGTAGACATTCTGTACCATCAAATGGCTTTCTGTATGAACACTAGAAATCACTTCAGTTCTTGAAGGTTAGTTTAGATAGATTTTTATCTGGAAAAACCAAGAAATATACATGCAGTACAATTTCACCATAAATATTCATCTTAACTTTAAAGTCTTAACTTTTAAAAGTAGCATGTAAAAAAACATAAACTGTGTATGTGTAAGGTATATGTATTTTGCATACAAATCTGCCTTTATTAATATTGCTGTAATAGATTACTTGTCTGACTGAGAAACTAAACAAAGTTTCAAGATAAGGAGGCACTGAGAAATGGTTCAGTAGCTTGTCAAATGATGTTGATGAATGTCCTTTGCCTTTTATAAATTTGAATATAGGTCTGTAATGGAAAAGTAACTAAGTAATTAAAGTGGTAGATCGCTACTACACGACTGCAAATAAATTTCATTAATTTATAAACAAACTTCATCATTCTAAAAAAATTGCAACCTATTCTTTGTGTTCAGGTTCCAGTTTAATACTTGAAATGGTTTTAAACCAAAAGGGTTACAGTGGGCATATTAGTTTAAAACTGACCCCTAGACATTCAAGACAGAATGTTGTTATATAAACAAGCTGAGCTTACTGTGATTATCACTTCATCATAAATAAACATTATGTAGAGACTTTTGTCTTTATTTTATAAAGAAAAACCTACTTTTGAGCAAACTTGCAACATACCATATTTGTTGGCGTACAAGATGCAGTTTGTTTTCTTTGAGAATAGGTCTGAAAAATGGAGTATATCTTATGCATCGATACTCAGTGTTTGATTACATTCATTTCTAGAATTTTCCTCTATTCTAATTAGTCAGCTTCCATATTTAGATGTCGGCATTAATAAACCATTTAAGGGATTTATGAAGAAGTGGAACAGCTGGATGCAGTCTTCAGATTTTGATGTTACACCTTCAGGAAAAAGGAAGAGGCCTAGCATTAGAGGCAAGTTTATGAATGGGGGTCAAAGCTTCATGGGATGATGTGAAAACAGATACATTGGTTAAATCATGTAAGAAGTGTGGCATTAGTAATGCACTAATTTGTTGTATAAGGGCTCAAATGCTGATTTAGAAGAGGTTTCAACTGACTCTTCATGTAGCTCAGGAGATGAGTGTCTGGATTTTGACCAAGAAGATTAAAAGGTGTTCTTTCCCAGATAGCTTAGGTATTTACAGAAAGTATTACTTTATATTGAAAATACCATAAATTCATTATAAAGATCAGTAATAAAGTTTTATCCTTCAAAAATGTGTATAAAAAAGAGTGCATCTTGTATGCCAGAAAATACTGCAATTTTTAGCAAGTAAAATGGCAACAATATTTAATTTAACAGACCACTAAATGGCGAACTGAAAATATTAACACATTTAAAGTGATAATAAGCTCATGTTTCTAAGGGAAGGATATGATCTACACACCATGGACCTTGAATTTTATTATGCTTCTCTGAATTTGTATCCTACTTATTTTTTGAGCAAATTTTACTTTAAGAATTTAATGCATTGAGAACAAATCATGGTTAGTTTGTGTTTAAAATTTTCCTGTTTGATATGACAATATCTGTTATTATAGCTCTCTGACATGCGAATTACCTTCTCAACAAACTTTGTGATTTGCAAAACATTCTTGTCGCAAATAATGTTGATATTCACTTGTTAACTGAAACATTTCCCACATCTGACTTTCTTCACTAATAGATACGAACATCTACGTGACCGGAGAGGGGATGTAGGTATCTTCGTTAAAGATTATTGCCCTTAAAATTATAATAAATCTTCCACAGGTTGCCAGCACTACTATTGTGTTGTATATAATATACAGTATTTATGACTCGCTGGTGGAATGTCTTTGTGCTTATGGACAATAAATATCCAATGTTTCTAGCAGATGATCTCGATCTAAAATTACTGCCAGGGGCTACCATTCGAATTAATTAATGATGTACAGTAAATCAAACTACATTGGTATAATTTGGAACTTTAAACCTAGTTCAACCTGCCTTCTGTACACTAGCTGAATTCTATCCTTTCTTATTTCATGAGGAAGTTTGTATTGAAGTCTTGCTTTAAATTTTACTCTCGTTCACTAATGGGAGTTTTCAAAAACCAAATTTGTATTTTTCTAATCTGAAGCTTAATTCTTACAATATTTTGGTTTTCTGAAAATATAGATCATAAGCATCCTCTTCAATTACGAAATTCTTAGATTTACCATGAATATTCACTGGATATTTCGAAAACAACCGGAATTGAAGGTTATCACCTAAAAGCAAGTCGTTAAATTCTTTCCAAGACTTTCCATTAGGATAAATCTATGCAAGGGACCTTGGTAACACGAGTATGTTTTTAACGGATGGTAATGAGGATAAACACATGGTATATCATCTAGAGAGATTATGGGCATTTATTTTTTAAATTTTATTCTGCATATGACATGTTCTGGAAATGCGTACAGATCAGTATTTAAAATTTCAAGAGAGGTTTAATTGTGTACAGATAAGATGAAAAGTGTTTGCATTATTTTAAGAAAATGGGTGGGATGTGAGGATAACTTCGAAAATTTTTTCAAAGTATGGTTGCAAGTTTTACTTCTTAAAAATTAAAAGTGATAAAAATGTTGGACCTGAAGACTGAACCCAGCAACACAGTAAACTGAAATTTTTGCTTTTGGGGGAGGGTAAAAACCAATATTATATAATTAATAAATTCTAAATACTTAATAATTAAATGCTTCAGAAAAATAACTGCTCAGTTTACTGATACATAAATGAAGAAGTTCCATATAAAATTTGGCACAAAAAGCAAAACATTGATGAATTCACGCTGACTGCAGCTTCATTGTAGCTCAGAGCATTTGAATTTTTTGCTAATTTGTGATAATTTTTTTCATTGAACTGCATCATTTGCTTACAAAATAATGAAAATTCTGAGACAATAGGTGATTATTCTTAGGAATCCCAACCAAATTGTTAAAATAGAACAAAGTAAGAATCTAGTAGGGGAGGCTAGTTGTTTGCATTTTTAAATGTATTTATGGTTTTTTGATTATAAATGCCGTTTTTAATAGAATAACTGTGGGTTCATTACATTCACAAAACAATTTTATTCAAAACTGTTCGACAATTTTGTTGATTTTAGCACAAGAATTATATTTGCCTCACTACAGGGGTCGAAAGTAGTGGCCATTTCATTATAGAAAGCACCTGACATATCATTGGCTCCTATGTAAGGGACGGACAGTTACAAACATGCCTTCTCCGGGACTCGAGCACGGGCTCATCGCTACGGTGGGTCAGGTTCATTAACCACTACACTGGCTGGGTGGCTTAGCAGAGTATGAAATTGTATGAAAATTGAAAGTATTGTATGAAAATGATTCGTCTGTTACAATTTGCCCGAGACATGGGGTAAATTGTAACATACCTGAGGCAAGTAGTGAAAGTCAGTTTTCTGAGAACTGTAATTAACATAAACAA